GTTGGCGCAATTGTACAGTGCAACCACCCAAGTGTTTAAAAGTGCAGTCAAGTGACTTTTTCTGGCTTTGTCAAACGGACTTCATTAATTTTCTACAATATGCTATTTGCAGCACAATCTGAATACCGGGTTATAGTTGGCGAGCTAATCACCATTCTGGGGTCAAGAAATGAGAGCTGCCAGCGGCCTCACAGGACTCTTAAGTCCTGCCACCTGTGCCAGTAATTTGGCACGTGACTTTTCTTTTCAACTAAAACCAACGTTGAGATATTTCTAGCTCTGTCACTGCTAGCAGCTAACATGGCCATGCTAATATTCTCCTTAGCTGAGTCACTCCCAGCATCAACAGTAAAGTTTAAATTTTTAATTACATGTCTAGGAAACCAGACCTTAAACATTGGCATACAGTATATTTTGTCTTATGTCTTATACATAATCCTCCAAAGTGGTTTTTTTTTTTTTTTCTTTTCTTTTCAGAGCATTGACTCCACTGACTCTCAACCTAATTTAGTGACTAAAACAACCGAGTGGTGGTTGGGGCTGATAACATTCAAAGTGTGCAATTTTATGCAGGAATACTTTTGTAAATGGCTTTATTTATGGTAGCTAGAGCAGATATTTGAAAGAGTTTGGAACATATTGAACCACCCTTTTTTATTTATATAAGGGGTGGTTAGGAAAATAGGAAATCGGTGGAGCTACTTACTGAAATGTGTGCAAACTGACATGGAAATACAGTACATGTACAATTTTAACAAACTTGGCAATATTTGTATGACACCTTTATTCTGAACTCTCTTTGGAAAGCTTTCTTGTGATTTCCATAATAGTTTTGGGAATAATTCTCCAGGTCTCTTGGAGGTCACACCAAAGCTTTTCTTTTCATGTTTTCTGCCTTTTTTTTCTTTTCTCTTTGATGATGATCCCACACTGCTTCAGTAATATTGAGTTTTGGGCTCTGGGGATGCCAATCAGTGACTGATAGTGTCCCAGTGTGTGTTTTTCTATCCAGGTCTGCGTTGCTTCATTGGCAATGTGTTTGGCATGATTGTTATGGTGAAAAATGTTGCCAGTCTGAAGTTTCCAGATGTTATATCATTGTGGATCCAAACATCACTGTCAGAAAAGCAGCCCCAGACCATGACGCTGATGTGGCATCCACCACGTTTTACAGGTGGCCATGAATACTCACTGTTCATCATTCTCCTGACCTTATATTGACAATAACGTGAATAAAATGTTCACATTTGGATTCATCACTCCATGAGACCCAATACCACTGATGTTTCACTTCAGTTTCTGTGTAATTTGGCATACCTCAGCCTTTTCTCCCCATTTCCCTTCCGTAAGAATGGCTTCTTGACAGCCAACCATCCACTGAGAACATTTCTGATGAGCCTTCAGTGAACAGTAGACGGTTCAGCTAAAGGGCCTGATGCATCTCTCAGGTTCTGTATCAGGTCTTTGCTTTTCCCCCTATTTCTTAGGGATTTCAGATACTTTCCATCTGCTTTTCACTACTTCCTCCACTTCTTCTTTTGTTCTCCACTTTTCCAGTTTCCCTCATTTTTAAGGACACTTACTAAGATATGACTAAGATACGCTCTTGGCTAGAAGCTATTTGAGAATCACCTTTTTGGTAAAAAGTAAAATTTTTAGCTGTCAAACTCTGTTATCTTTGGCATTTTTAATAGATGCAGATGAAGAAAATGGAACCAATTATGTGTTTGGGCAACTGGCTGCTAGTAACAAAGTGCCTAAATATACAATTTAATGTTGTTTCTTTGCCAAGTTGTCCATTATGTGTTGACACAACACTGCTTCATCCTTTGAGTTAGGCATCCTTTATATGGAACCACTGAACTGAAGATAATGTCCAAAGAATTAGACACAGACAACTGACTTTAGCAAAAAGTCATTTTGCTAAAGACCACTTTGAAAAATTACAACAGAGTCTGGCTCCTTGGAAGCAAAATATATTTCTGTTGGTGGATGTTGGTCAGTTACACTGTTTTCATCTCTCCTTTGAGGACTGAGTTTTGGCCTGAAGGTTTGTGCAGGTTTGTGCAGCAGCAGTTCTTGCTACTCCAAATTTGTCAGCCATTGTTCCCTGCACATTATACTGTAGAGCTCAGAAGTAGACAATTATAAGAAAATCAAAGGTTCATAAATGAGCACACAACTTTGAGACAAAGAAGGTGAAAATATAACAGTGGCACATATAAATAAACTGACTTTATAAATGATAAATGTCAGATACTTAAAAGCTGTCTTATCTCGTCTAACTTTCTTTTCACTGAGACAGTAACTGAGGGCGACCCGGTGAAAGAAAACACATACATTGTTTTGAAGTAGAACATATACGCTTAAAGCCACTTCTATGAGTTGTTCAGTGTGTTCAGTGGTCTGCTGCTTCTTCTTCTTCTTGCTTGGTGCTTTATTACAGCTGGCATCCAGGACAATGCAGTACTGCCTCCTGTATTCTCCAGTCATTTAACATTACTAACCATTCTGCTTCTAGATGCCCTTATTTAGTCCGGTCACTTAAAGATAACTCTGTAGTGCTTCCCTTGATTCAGTCTACATAATTTTGTAACATTTCTTTCCCTAATGAATTTCCTACATCACAGAAGAACGTGCTTAACTGTCTCAGTCTATTGGCATTGTTCACAGAGACCAAATTAATGTTCTGTTATGAATAAAGTATTATTGAGGTTGCTGTGCCCACTCTGGATTCCACTTAACATGGCTTGGTCTCTTCAATTCAATTCAATT